CCCCAGCCTCTCCTCTTGCCTCCCCCGGCGGCTGGGTGCTGAGCTGCCGCTCTCCTTTCCCCCCCAGGACTCCTGCAGGTGGTGAAGCAGTGCGTGCGGGTCCCCGTGTTCGTGATGATCCGACCTCGCGGCGGAGATTTCCTCTACTCGGACCGGGAGGTGGAGGTGATGAAAGCCGATATCCGCCTTGCCAAGCTGCACGGGGCTGACGGGCTGGTGTTCGGGGCCCTCACCGAAGACGGGCGCATTGACACAGAGCTCTGCACAGCGCTGCTGGGTAAGAGCGTCCCCGGTCAGAAACGCTGTGCTGAGCTCTGCGCGGTAGCTGTGCGGTGACCGTGGGGGTGGGAGTTCCGCGCGGCTCTGTCCGGCGCTGTAGAAAGAACCGTGCAGGGTGCTTTCGTCTGCACGTCTTGTCTGTGGTCTTGCCATCTCTCTCCACCTTCTACCGGTTTCATGTATTGTTGTGAGACGTTAAACAGGTAAGAAGCTTTGCAGACCAAGGGCCGCTGCCCCAAGCGGTTCACACTGAGTTTGAGGCCACCTGGGATGTAATGGCAGGGTCTAAGCAGGAGAGGTGCTTAGGTGAGCTCCTTTGGGGGCATCAGAGTATTAAACTGTTGGATTCCCTTCCTTCTTCATTTTCCTCGCCCTTTGTTCTTTTCCTTATGTCCCTGTTACAGGTGTCTAGGGTATGTCTCTCCTGGACTTTGGCCTTGTGGGTAGCTGGCAACTCATCTTCATTTTTTCCTCTAATGCACCCAGTGAGAAAGAATAATGAGAGAGAGGTGGAAATGTATAAAAGGATACCGAAACTGCAGTGGGAAATTGTTAGTCCAGACGCCTAACATGTAGAGAGAAAGAGAATTTGCTTCTACATCTTTTCTGTGAGCTACAGGCAAAGCTAAAGAGGGCTGAGCGTTGCCCTGGTGATCTGCTGCCAAGGTTCTTGTATGTATGAAGGTGAATGGGCTGTAGGGAGTGCAGCAAAAGAGAGTGGTCTTGCCCGGATCTGCCTCCACTAGAGCAATGAGGTGCTCTGCTGGAACCAGTGTTTCCAGGGCAGGAGGCAGTTGGATTTCTTTTCATAGAAGTAAATAAGTTTTGCCTAGTAAGTAGAGCATCACTGGTGAAGTGAGCTGTGGTCTGAGAGCAGAACTTGTAGGTAGTGAAAGAAATCACAAAAAATCAGCTCTCCTGCTTTCAAAGACTACTTGCTGGTCTTGTCCCTTCCCCAGGTAGATGATACAAATTCCCTGCTTCCTTCCTGCAGAGAAACATCTCTGGTGGGAATGAGGGTTCTGCATGATCCAGATGAGGTGGGGGATTTTGGTGTTACTCATAACAACAAAGGTCTTTTTGCTTCCTCAACGAGCAGAAGAACTCTTCCTCAGCAAAGAGCCTGGCCAAAGAACAGCAGCTGTGTTGTTCCCAGCAAGTACTGGGACCCTTCTGAGCTCCCCATGAATGGCCTGAGAAGCCTTTGCCCTCTTTCATCTGATGTGCTTTTCTGGTTCTAGCACAAGGGACTCCCTGTACCAGCCCTGACTGACCATATGTCTTCTTATTGCAGCGGTGTGCCGTCCCCTGCCAGTCACGTTTCACCGAGGTGAGTCGCCTGGGACAGTGGCCCTGGCAGGGACCAGCCTCTGTCCCACTGCCAGGGGAAGGTGGGGCTGGGAGGGAGCTGAGCTTAAGGTACTTTGGTCATTCTTTGGAGGGGGGAAAGCTCTGCATGCTGTGTAAGAGCAGGCTGTGGCTGCACTGTTCCCCCAGGAGGGGAAAGGTCCAGGGGGTGCATGCTTGGGGGCTGTGTCACTGCCCTGTGTGGAGAGGAGGCATCTGAGGAGCTGAGCACGGTGGCCCTGCCACTGCTGTGAGGGGGACATTATAGTCAGGAGCTGTGGCTCCCTGCAGGGGTGGCCAGCTGTGAGAAGGACCCTTCCTCTCGTTGTCTCCTGGGCTCCTGAGCTGGATGGGGGACAGGGCTTGAGCACAATGAGCTGAGTGATTTCTGAGCTGTTGTGTTGGCCTCAGCCTTCGACATGGTGCACGATCCCCTGGTGGCACTGGAGACCCTGATTTCTCTGGGGTTTGAGCGGGTATTGACAAGTGGCTGTGACAGCTCAGCGCTGGAAGGATTGTCTTTAATTAAGAGGCTTGCAGAACAGGTAAGTGTTCCCTGTGCTCGCCTGGTTTACTGCGGCTGCTTCCTGGGCATTGCTCCTTGATGGTAGCCCTCATTTCTGTAAGGGAACTCCTGTCAAGGAGCATTTGCCCTCCCTCTCTGGCTTGGCTTTAATCTTTTCCTAAGTCCGTGTAGCCTGGACCCCAAAGTCTCCCACAGCAAAGACTGGTTGGGTTGTTCTTGCTCGCAGACTGGGAGGAGGGCAGTAGGAGTTGATTTCAGCAGCTGGGTGTGATTAGGCCATGCAAACAGCAAAGTGAGGTCCCTGTTGGGGGTCTCATAGTTCCTGTTAGGAAAGTGCAACAGATGTACTTGAGAGGTAGGAAGAAATGGTGACAAGTTGCCTTAGCTGTACCTGCAAATTCTTTTCCCCTTTTCCTTGTAACACATGAATAGTACAAAACAGGTGGGTGAGAGTGCACGAATCATAAGCCATAGTGACATCCATGAGTTTGTGGAAGGCACTGCATGTAAGGTTTCTTTGCTACCCCACAAATGCGTGTGCAGATGTAGTGCTGAGCAATATCACTAACACGGTATTCTTCTTTCAGGCGAAGGGCAGAATTGTGGTGGTGCCAGGTAATGGTGTTTTGTCATCTGTAGCAGGTCCTGTAGTCCCTAGCACCTGCTTCCTAGCCTCTTGCCCTGGGGTGTGCTGTCTGATCTGGCTTTCTAAGCCAGGTCCCCAGGAGGAGGACCTCCTGCCCTGGTGCGACTAAAGGCTGCGCAGACAGCTGGGGATGGCAGAGCTCTGCAGCCACTTGCTTGCTGGAGGATTTGGGGACAGCTCTACATCTGTGGGAGAACATGAGCCGAGGCTTCTCTTGTCTCTTTTCATGTGCCCGGGTCTCCATTTTCCCAAGGGCTGTCTTTTCCCTTCAGTGTAGATGGCGCTTGTCCCTTAGGGGGGGTAGGTCCCAGGGTGGTGTCAGGCCTGGGACAGTGCCATCTGCGCTGTATGTGACATTGGGATTCTTCCCACCAGGGGGTGGCATCACAGAGCGCAACCTGCAGAGGATTCTGGAAGGCTCCACTGCTTCTGAGTTTCACTGCTCTGCTCGCTCAGCCCGGGACTCAGGGATGAAGTTCAGGTAACTGATTATTTGTTTTTATTTTTTAGCAAAACTGTACAAGGGAAAAGCTGGATTAATGTGAACGTGAGTTTGTAGAACAGGCATAAATTTCAAACAGCTTCCTTGGTGCTAATCGCGCTCTTGTGGTTGGGGTCCTGATGCCTGGCTCTGTATTCTGCAGTGTGTGAATCCAGCACTGCTCATCATCCAGACACGGATGCAGAACTGGATCCTTGGGGCATTTCTTCTGCTACTGCTGCCCTAGGGCTTGTGAGTGTGCTTGTGTGGCACTCGGGAAGGCAGGTTCTGGTGTAGCTGCCTTAGACCTTTAACACAAGTGTGTAGGATTTGGGAGGCCAGTGGGATGTGCTTCTGAGGAATGGCTTACATCTGTCCACAGATGTGCACTGGGTTTCTGTCGATGCTGTTGTTTATTGCCTTTGGATTATTCCTCTTTCTATTACTGTCTCATCTTTGGTTTGGGTGGCACCAGCAGATTCTCTGGCCACTGCTGAGACTAGGGGAGATAGTGGGTTTTGCTTAGTGTGTCTTAGTCACCTGTATCACCTGCAGATAGTAACCAGTGGTTTTCCTGACAGAAATCCGAACGTTGCCATGGGAGCGTCCTTCTCTGCCCCTGAATACTCCATAAAGGTGGCAGATGTGGCCAAAGTGAGGACCCTGAATGCGATCGCAAAGAACATTCTGTAGTGGAAGGCACTGTGCTGGGACAAGAGCGCTGAGACTCCAGGGTCTTTCCTGCCACATGGACAGATGGGTATTGCTTCCGTCCTCAGGCTGCAGAGGATGTGAACTAGGTGATGAAGCCTGACATCTCTTCCCTTGGCTTCCCCCGAACGACCAGTCCCTGGCCTGGAAACTTAACGTTGGCCATTTTAAATAAAAGGACTCATTCCCAGATGTTGTGGCAACAAGCTGTTCAGCAGTATTTGGGAGGAAGGGAGCTGAGCAAGTAGGGGGACTGAATTGTGTAGCACTGCATGTGATTGTCAAATAAACACTGCAGCTGCCCCCCTCTCGCTGTGCTTTTTTAAAATTTATTTATATTTTACAGGTAAGACTGTGATCTGTGTTGCATAGCCTGAATTAATCAGGCCCCTTGTGCACCTGAGAAGAATGCAATCATCCAGAATGCCAGGGAGGGAAACATCATAGCCACAGGTGGAAAACAAGGCCTGCTGTGGTCAGCCAGTAGGATAGCTGGGGATTAGCAACGCAGCAGCTGCTAGGTAGAGAGAAGCACATTGATACGTAGAGATGATGAACACATTAAGTTCTAATGGGAAGGAGCTTCTAACTACCTGACTGATGAGGTGAGGTAGTTGCGAGGCATCCTGGGCTGTGGGTGCTTGAGGTGGGGTGGGTGTGTGATGAGATTCCTTGGGAGGACAAGGTGCTTTTTCTCAGGGAGTTTCCAGGTCCTTTTCCCAACATGAAGCACAAACTGCTTGTTCTCCAGACAGTGCTCAGGGGAATGTGCCTATTGAGTTATTGCTGCCTGGTCAGAATTGAAGCCTTAGACTCATTTCAGTTACCCTGCAAAATACCTGATGAAAGATCTGAATGGTGTCAGTGGTCCATTAAAAGAGTAGAGACCCAGAGATAAAGCAGCTTTATTCTTGCAGCCTGCTCTTCTCTAAAAGATCCACAAAGCTGAAGAGGATCCCCCTGACAGCAGAGATAGCAGACCTTCTTAGGAGACAAAAAGCAGGGTTCAGATTTGTCTGCCCCTCTTGGCAATAGCATACAGCCTGTGAGGATGTACAGGAAAATGTAATACTTGACAAAGTGGCAGCACCTTTTGTCACCTTAAACATAATCAGGTCACTGAAAACCTACAACCAAGACTAACTATGTATCTTCATCTCAAAGGGTACATCCACCTTTTCACATGGATCCATCACAGGTATCTGTCTCCCAAAACATACCTCGGGAGTGTATGTGGTAGTTTGCAACACAGGAGCTGGGAAGGGAATGGCTGCTTAGTGCTGGTGTCGGAGCCTGCTTCAGCACTGGCAGATAGATGTGCAGGCAGTAGGGAGGATCTGAACTCAGAAGAAGAAATGATTAAATTTGTGGTTATGGTCAATATAGTTCAGAATACCTGATTGAAGAATTCATGGTTTATGTTGTGAGATTTCATAAGTCATGGTGATGATTAAGATACCGGTAGCTCAATTAACATGAATATTCTGCTGAGGCAGCCCCCCTAGCATCGTAAACACAGAGTTTGGTTCTCTCCTTTTGTGTAAAGTTAAAAAAAAAAAAAAAAGAAAAAAAGGCTGTTGAACTCATGTGGGGTTACAGCACAACAAAGGAGAGAAACAAACCCTTCAGAAACAGGTGAGCAGTGAGGGCTGGACTAATTTGTAGATTGCCTTGCAGAAGCCTCTGTCCTGGACCAGACCCTGTGAGAAACAGGCATGAAGCAATGCCTAATTTTGAAAACTTAAGTTATAAGGTGGTGGATAACAGATGGGTAAAGGCAAGGGAGCACAGGGAAACAGTGTGGTATTGTTGGCCAAAGAGGTCTTACCACTTTGATTAGCTTGGTGCCAGTGAACGTTTTCTGGGTATTGTAGTGAAGGAAGCTTTATGGGAGGAACTGAAGGATAGTGAGGTGGCTTTGTGGGTTTTTAGGAGGAGCATGCCCCAGGTAAGAGGGAGAGAAAGTGGGGGTGTGCTTGCTTTGAACATTAAAAGATAGCTGGCATCCTGTCCTGAGCAAAGCACTTCAAGTCTGAATGAGAGACCAAAGACGGGGTGAGGATGGGCTGTGACATGTACTGAAAACTGAGACACGCAATGGGACAGAGCATTAAATAGGAAGGTGTCACGAGCAAGTGGTCCCCTTGGCAGCAGCGCTCCAGATGGGTACGAGCAAGGCCAGAGGACACCTGTGCCAGAGAGCAGAAAGAAGAATCACATCAGCACTCTGGATGCAGAAAGGCTGAGGAAGTGACTGCTCCATTCACTTTGTATCCATTGCATCAGATTGCTGCTCTCATCAGCAGGGTATTGGTTCTGGCCTGGAGGACTGTCTTGACCCACTCAGAAGAGGAGGGTGAGTTACTGAGATTGGCAAATCCCCAGCAGTGTGGACTAAGGTGAGACAACTCTCAAGGTCCATATACAAACGTTTATTAAGATTCCTACAGTGATTAATGGATGTCTTAAACGAGGTTTTCCAATAATTGGTTAGGTATATAACAGATTATGGCAAGCAGTAAGGTATGCCTTGCATTACTTAGCAATTCTAAGAGAAAAGAGAAACAGAGAGAGATCACCAGTCCTGGTTCAAGCATTGGTCCAGCCAACTGGGGTTCTCTGGTTCGTAAGAGTGCTCTTCTGTGGATCTCCCAGTGGCACCTATCTTCCCCCTTTGTTTGCCATATCAGTACAACCCACCCTACTCCCACAGTGGCAGTTTTGTTTCAGGTTCTCTCCCAACCCCCAAGGTGACATATAGCATGATTTGGGTTGAGACACGAGTGCTATAGTCACATATGTTTAGTGTGATCTCCATAATCTTCATGAGCATATTCAGGAGTGTCAACTTTAATATACATTTTGCAGATAATGAGGCAAAAGTTATTTATTGGACGTGATGGCCCCGAAAACAGAGAGCTAACAGGCTTCACTAGTTGCACCAGAGCAGAACCATCCTTTCTCCACAGGGCTCCCTCCTCCAGCCGCATCCTCTCCCATGTGCTATTCCTCCCACATGGGTCAAGTGCTTGCCTTACCAGTTCCTTGAGCACAAAGCCTGCATTATCCAGACTCCACATTATCCACGCTGTGACTACGGTTTCATTTCAAGGTACTTGTGAGTGTTTGAGACATTTCTTGGAAAGGCTCAGAGGGCCTCCACGCCCCTTCCCCTTTATCTCTACCAAGCTTCATCTCTTGCCATCGTTCATGATTCCCTCAGGCTGCTTCTCTCAGTCTTTGTTTTGGAGAGTTACAAGTAGTCTCCTGCAAGGACCTAGCACAAGGGGTAGCTTTATTTACAAAAACAAGTGGATTTAATCAGACAAGCCAATAATAATTAACCAATCAGTTGGACATTGAACCTTTCTCTGGTATTGATGGTAAGAGGGTGGTTCCCGAGCAGTTACTCGTTGTATCATCCTTGACTTCTGAGCTGTCTACTAACTCCTTGAACAATGAGACAGCAGAATCCTTGCAGTCAGCCTACCGTCCCCTTTTACCTACTTCTCCCCAAGAGCACTCATGATAAAGCAAATCCAGTTCCAGCCTTAGAGTAGCACCATCCCCACCTGCCCCCACACCTCCACTTTCCTAAGCAGCAGCGTGATGATTTAGTGGCAGTTGCCTGCCTCAGGAATGGTCCTCTGGCTGTCTCAGATGTTGGGGGTTGCCTTAGAATGAAGATTCAAAGTCTCTTTTGGGCTTTGTGGTCAGCCAGCTGCCATAACATGCAGACAACACAGAGGTATGGGAAAGGGAGAAGTAAAAAGAAGAGCTGGGAGAGTCTCCAGGCTCTGCAGGCCAGAGGAAGTTGGTAAAAGGAACCCAGATCCCGGAGACTCAGAAAGACCACTGCAGCATGCAGTCAGCTCAGCTGTCAGATGCTGCAAGTTCCCAGGCCTGGACCACTGCTGGTGTCCTGGGCCTCCTTGCTGGGTGGCACATGAGAAAAAGGGTACGGTCTTCTTTGGCTTCTCAGCCTTTGCTGGACTTTTTGGCAGCATTCAGCAGGCTTGTTCTGGCAGGAGAGGTCTGTTGCACTAAAGTAGTGTCTTTAGTGGGTCCATAAGAGTTTGTCTCTGTTGGTGTGCACTGATGAAGGCTGTGGTTTCTGAGCGATGGCTGTGGTGTCCTGCAGTGACTCTGTGACAGTGGCTTCCCTGCATCTCCCCTTTGATCTCTTTCTTGGGTCTTCCTCTCCTCCCTTCCCCAGAGCCCATGCAGTTTCCAAAGCCCTTTTGGTCACTGCTTTGGTCTGTGGTGTTGTGCAATAGCACCAAGTTAACAATTAACTGTGTGTCATCAGGCATTTTGTCCCAACACCACTTGAGGGTGTGTGGGGACTTTTGTCCCAAGCATCCACCCAGGACTCACAGCCAGGCAGAGCGAGGGGAAGGAGCTGTTGTCTCTTCTCCCCTGAGCCATGTCGGCAGCCCTGGAGGAGTTCTGTGGCTCCGTCTTTTGGGTGAGTGGCTGCATCACCTCCATCGCCCGTTCTTGGGATAGGATGCTCAGTAGAAGGGGAGAGCAGTAGATCCCAAGGCTCACAGCTTGTTCAGCCAGTGGGACTCAACTGCCAGTGGTCAGCAGAGGTTCTGGTATTTATCCAGGACTGCCATGGCACTGAGCGCTATGTGCTGCCTGCGTGGTATCCATGAAACAACAATTCAAATGACAGTTCCCTGAGTAAGCCCTGTCCTATTTTAGCCCTGCAGCCCGGCTGGGAACACAGGACACCCTGCACGGACCTCTTGCGGGATGATTTGGGTCCAGCTGCTGCACCTGGCTTGGGTCCAGTAAGGGGTGGTTGTGGGGGAGGCCCTTCCACGTTCAGGCAGATAGATGGGTAGGGGGACGTCACCTGGGACCTCGGCTGAGTGCTGAAATGCTCAGCCAGGAAAGTAGGTGTTGAGGAGAGGGGTGTGATAGGGTGGAGCAGGGTGGGCAGGAGCTATAGGAGTGGTGGCTCTTGTGCCGTGAGCCAGGTGAGGGTCAGGCCATCCCAAGTGACTTGGCTGTCTGTCCTTGCTGCCCCCAGAACGCCTCCTACCTCACTCGTCCAGATGCCGACCTGCCCATGTGCTTCCAGCAGACTGTGCTGGTCTGGGTCCCCCTTGGCTTCTTCTGGATTTTGGCTCCATGGCAGCTCCTGCCCATGTGCAAATCCAGAGCCAAGAAATCATCTGTGACCAAACTCTACATCATCAAACAGGTAGAGTGGGGCTGAGGGGGCACAGAGGGCAGGCTGGAGCAGCCTGGGGTGGAGGGGTGGTGGAAAGCCTCTGGCTGGAGTGAGGTGTGGGATGGAGAGATGAGAAATGTAGGTGAGAAGGAGCAATGGGCTAGGGCACCATCTGGGACAGAAATGTAAAGGGGGGCCCGGGATGAGGCATATCTGGGACAGAGGGCATAACAGGGCTGGGATGCACTGGGAGGGGGGGCAGAGGTGTGTACGGGGGCTTCTCATCTTGTGGGCTGTTATCCTCCAAGCTTAAAATGATGGCAGTGCTCCTGTGGAAGTGCTACAGCTTCACAGGGTCCTAGAAAGGCTTCCCAGGCCAGGTTTGAGTTGGAAAGGGTGTAACGGTGTATGGGACACTGTGCTTTTATGCCCAACTGTGTTGTCTCCCAGTGGTTCCCGTGCGCACGATGGGCTGGGTCTCCCCTCACGGCTGCTCACCTCTCCCCGCAGGTGCTGGCTGCCTTGCTGATGCTGACGGCAGTGGCGGAGTTGGCCCTGGCGTTTGTAGAGGACACAGACCAGGCCCCCCTGCCAGCTGTCCAGTACACAAACCCCAGCCTGTACATTGGCACCTGGGTAAGGGATCAGCCGGTAAATGTGCTGTGTCACCAGAGAGACAGGGTGTGAGACCATGAGGCCAAGCAGCAGAAAACTTCCCATAGCAGAGATCAGCTGGAAGCTGCGTCCACAAGGGAAGCGTAGCCTGGAGGATGGGTAGGGACTAGCCCTGAACATCTGTGGGTGGTGCACAAGGGTGATAGGTTGAGGGTGGGTGTCTGGTTGTACAGTGCTCCCTCCTTTTATCCTTAAAACTGGGATAGATACTATGCCTGTGTGCATAGCTGAGCTTTCTGGCAGAAACCTCAGTAGCAGCAGTATGGGTTTCACAGGACTGACTGCATAGCATTAACATCGGACCATGGCTTGCTGCTCTGATGTCTCACAGCTTCCCATGGGCTGCGGCTCAGTTTTGTGTGGAGAGTCAAGAAGTGCGACAGGATACCCAGGCAGAGGAGAAAGTGAGGACACAGGGGCTATTAGCTTGATGGAATATGTGCATGGAAGTTGCAGATATCTTGTACGAGACATGGGATATTCTAACAGTCTTTACAAAGCCGTAACTCTCAGGAGCTACACTTAAAAGCAAAAGTAACACCCCAATTTGCTGTCCTTTGTATTTTGTCATGTCATTTAGTTTCACGTGCAGAGTTCATGTGAGATTGTAAGTCAAGGGGACTGCCCAGAGAGGCTGCGCTGCTGGGTGTCTGATCTGGCTTTAATTCCAGGTCTGGAGGCAATATGCAGGAGACAGGGTGTGACTCCTCACAGCTGGGCATTATCTGAGAATCTGGGGTGAGAACAGCTAAAAAGAGAAATAGTGCCCTGCTGTAATGTCAGGGTGTCTTCAGACCTTGCTTTTCTTATGAGGAGCCTGATCTTATGTCTTCCTGAAATAAACCATTGCCCTGTATGATTAACTCCAAAACTTATGTAGGGTTGGCAGCGACCTCAGGCACTGGGAGCTCAGTGTCTTCAAGGCAGTGAATCCCAGCAGATCACACGTGCTGGTATCCCAGGACACATGCTCCAAAGGCACATTTAGAGCCCAGACTGAGTCCTGCAGCCCTACCTGAACCTCTGACTGATTTTCCTTCCCCCAGCTCCTGGTCCTGCTGATCCATGATGCACGACGCTTCTGCTTGCGCAGAGACTCGGGGATACTTTTCTGCTTCTGGACACTGTCCCTGCTCTGTGGGATATTGCCATTCCAGTCACTCCTCCGGAGAGCCCTGCAGGTTGGGTTTGGCAGGAAGCTCTGTGCTTCCCCATGGTCTTGTTCTGTCCCCAAAGAAAGTCCCTCCAGACTTCATCTCTTGACAAGTTCTCAGTGGTATCACTGAGGTCCCAGCTGCCCTAAGGACCCTGGGGAACCAGAAGAGACCTGAGAAGGAATTGCTGTTTGAATTCATCCTGTCTTTTTGGGGTGGCATAAGCTCTCCAGGACCAATCTATCCCCTTACGGACTTATGGGAGGAGGACAGGAAGAAGCAGGGAGGGGTAGTGAAGGGAAGCTGAGCCAGGAGCCAGAGCAAGTTTTGCACTGCCCCTTTGGGCCCAGCCTTGTTTGCTGTCCTGGGCATGGATCTTGTCTCTGAGTGCCAGGTGGCCTTGAGACAAGCCCCAGCAGTCACTCTGGGCTCTCCATTCCTGCAGGTGCCAATCTCTGACGTGCCACGGTTTGTCCTTTTCTTCATCTCCTACGGGCTCCAGCTGCTGCTTTTTCTTGTCTCGGGCTTCTCAGATGTTGCCCCAGAAACAAAGGAAATCACGAAGAAGGTGCGAGGTCCCTGCGGGAGTGGGTTTGGGGTACTGCATCCTGGCTGGCGTTGTGCAGGGCAGGGTGGGCTCCATGCAGAGACTCCTCCTGGCCCCTGTGGGAGGGAAGACCTTGGGGCTTCAGCAAGGGGCACAGTGAGAGCTGGAGCCTGCAGCCTGGGGCTTTGGCACGTATGTCCAAGGGGAGGCTGCTTCTGGCTGTGAAATGGGATTCCTGGGGCTGGAGCTGGCACAGTTTGAAACCTCAGGTTTCTTGATGGCTAGGGGTGCTGAGTCAACTCTTGTCAACACCACCTTTCAGCATCAATGATCTCTTGGTACGCGCTTTGCTTTGTGCCCTAGAACCCAGAGGTGACAGCCTCCTTCCTGAGCTCCATCACCTTTGAATGGTACACCAGGTAAGCAGGGCTCCGTGGGAGGTTGGGCTGGCAAACTGCAGGCATGTTTTAGGGCTGGCCCAGCCCTGTTTGGGGGAGCCTGCAGCACAGGCTGCTCGGAGTTAGTTGTGAGAGGCACCACATTCGGTGCAGCCTGAGGTTGGGGCCAGGCTGGGTGTAAAGGCTCTGCATTTGCAGCAAGGACTCTCCAACAGGTGTAGTACAGGAAACTTGCTAAGGAGAGATTTCTCTGCCCCACAGCATGGTTTTCAAGGGCTATCGCAAACCCTTGGAGATAGAGGATATCTGGGAATTGAAAGGTAAAGACAAGACGCAGGCTATTTATGCTGTTTTGGAGAAGAACATGAAGACTGCGGTGAGGAAGGCCCAAGCAGAACTGGAGAAACGTAAACGCAAGAAAAGACACCGGGAAGGTGACCCAGACCATGGGAACAACATAAGCAAGGCCCAGAGCCAAGACATCCTGGTGCTGGTAAATCCCTTCCTACTCTTGGCCTTGCATGGGACTGAGAGATCCAGGTCCAGCCTTGGGGAGTAGGGTCACCTCACCTCCCTGCAGCCCCCTTTGCTGGGTTTTCCCCTCTTTGATTCTGCAGGGCCATGGGCAAGGATGGGGGAACCCGTGACAGGGTATTCCCTGTCCTCGGCAGATCCCCGTGTTTTGAGAGACCAAGAAAGTCTCCATCCTTCTGCCCTACAGAAGGACAGGAACAACCCTCAAGTCTGCAGTACAAGCAGCTCCCTTATCTCTGTCTTTCCCTACCCCAGATACCTTCCAGTAATGCGGTCAGAGTGAACATCACTCTATGATCACCCCTGGCCTCAGATTCTTCCTGGGGTGCCTGATTTTTGGCCTGAGAGGTTCAGCCTGGTCTGGGGTTTGCAATAATTTTCTTTGGTACACAAGAGAGGTGTTAGTACTGGGGGTGTATGACATGAGCAGAGATCAGCAAGAGGGAATATGAGAGGAGGTGAAGCTAAGGCTTCATTCATAACAATCCCTGATCTGGGGTCTGTGGCAGGATCCAGGTGCAGGAAGCCTGTACAACCAGCTCCTTTACTTCTGTGTGGGCTTCCCTCTAGGAGGAAAAGCAGCCAAAGAGGAAGAAGAAGGGAGACAAAGGGGACTCTGGCCCTCGCAAGGATTTCCCCCGGGGCTGGTTGGTGAAAACCCTGTGCAAGACCTTCTGGCAGAACCTCCTGCTATCAGTGGCTTTCAAGCTGGTGCATGATGGACTTTTGTTCGTCAGCCCCCAGCTGCTGAAGTGAGTCCTTTCTCTCTGTCCCTGTCCATGCCCATGTCCATGTCCTAGCTTTGCACCCAGCCCCACCACTTCCCTATGTGCACTGCATCCAACCCCACCATCTCCATATGTGTACCTCTCCCAGCCCCACACCCTGGGGACTTTTTGTGCCCTCACCAAGCTGTGAGAATGTGTTGGGTTACAGTTTAATGAAGAACTGACCTGAGCTGGCTGCCAGCTCTTACGGGTGATACCTTGCTCCCTGCTCCCTACATCCTTTGTTATGCAGTCCCGCTCCCTCCCTGGAGACAGTCCTGGCTCTTCTTTGGGGCCCTTCATGAGTCAGTCCAGCTCAGCCCAACAGGACCTGCCCAGTTTGTTTTGCAGAGCCACACAGTCTCTGTGGATGATCTGATATTAGTGACCCACTGCTGTATGTGAAATGCAGCATCCCTGGCAGAACAGGGACACTCAGCAGAACAGGGACACTCAGCAGAACAGGGGTCCCCAGCTTGCTGAGCATCAAGCCAGCTGTCTGGGGCAGGGTCTCTGTCACCACTCTCGTGAGGATGCTCTTCCTGCATTGGTTTGGAGCATCCTGCTCAGGTCTATCTCAGTAGGGTGGGGGTCTCATGGGCTTCTTTACCCTCCAGGCTGCTGATCACCTTTGTGTCGGATGAGGAGTCCTTTGCCTGGCAAGGCTATCTGTATGCCATCCTGCTCTTCCTGACAGCACTGATCCAGTCCCTCTGCCTGCAGCAGTATTTCAGCTTGTGCTTCCACCTTGGCATAAATGTGCGTGCCAGTCTCATTGCTGCCATCTACAAGAAGGTTGGTATGGCCCTGTCATCACCCCTGCTGGCTTTCTCCAAGCTGGGCTGGGGATACTGGCATCCATTTCCTACCCCATCAACCTGGAGTAAGTGGGGTATATGTCCTTTACTTCCCAGGAAGCAATGGGGAGAGCTTGGCTTGTGGGACACTCACCCAGCACTGAGGACACTCTGGGTGCTAGTTCTGCCTGGGACCTGGGTGCTGCAGTCATGTGTTTGACAGCTACCAGGGGCCGAGGGAGGTTTCTCTTCAGAGCAGTGCAACACCTAAGGCAGCTCTGCTAGGATTCCTGCATGGGGATGTGTTTCTTTGCCCCCAGCATCCAGTGGCTCCTGGTGTGCAGGCTGTGATGACAGCACCTGTGGCCAGCAGAGAGGCACCTGGAGCAAACCCAGGAGCAGTTTCAGCCTGGCCTGCTAATTCCCTGCTCTGTGCCCTGCTGCTGGCAGCCAGGCTGCTCCCAGACTGGCTTGTGGTGACTATGCTTTCGCTCTCCAGGCACTCACCATGTCCAGTGCCACCCGCAAGGAGTCCACGGTGGGAGAGACTGTGAATCTGATGTCAGCTGATGCCCAGAGGTTCATGGACACGGCCAACTTTGTTCACCAGCTGTGGTCATCCCCCCTGCAAATTATCCTGTCCATTGTCTTCCTCTGGAGAGAGCTGGGCCCCTCTGTTCTGGCTGGCATCGCAGTTATTGTGCTGCTCATCCCCATAAATGGGTTCCTGGTTGCCAAGGCCAAAACCATCCAGGTCAGTGGTGGGTTCAAGATCCTCCCTGGCCTCCCACTCCTGAGGCCCACTGTTGCTCTCCTCACTCATTTTCCACACTCCCCTACTCTTCCCTGTTATGCTGCAGATCTTTCCCAACCTAGGAAATTCATCTGACTTGGGCTGGGCATGTCTCTAGCCTGAGCTGGGGGGTGATCAGCTGAGATGAGCAGGAGGCATGTGAGACCTGTTCTACCATCACAGCTGAACTTGAACAGTGCTCCATGCTGCAGTCATGTGTTTGACAGCAGCCTTGAGGACTGAAAGCGAGATATTACCAGCCATAACATAAGGCTTTAGCTTCTACTTGACAACAGGGTGCTGTTTTTTCCCTGGTTGTCCAGAGCCCCAGGGAGACAAGGTCCAGCTTTGTGGGATGGCTTCTCTGGGCTCCGGAGCCCACCCTTCCCTTCCCTGTGGCAGCCTGGATATATTTCCAAGGGTGAGTTGCTGTCTGGTTTAGGTGACCTCTGGCTCTTCTGTTTGTAGGTGAGGAACATGAAGAACAAGGATGAACGCATGAAAATAATGAGTGAAATCCTCAATGGAATCAAGGTGAGAAGTGGAGTGGAGACCCCCCCGGCAGCTCTTGCACCCCTCTTCTTGGTGCACTGTACCTGGAGGCAGCACACCCGTATAACCCTACAGCACCAACATTATAGTCTAGCTTGGGGCCTCTGTGTCTGGGGTAGCCAAGCCTCAGTCTCTGCAATTCCCTTGGCTTCCTCACCTTTTGAAAGGTTGGCTGGGAAGGAGCTCTGGATACCTGGACCAAGACTTGGGAGCCAAGAGAGGGTTTTCTGGGGGTTTCCTGGATGGCTGTGGTGGTGAGCAGGCTGCCATGGTGGCAGAGGGGCTGGCAGTGACCTGTAAGCTGAGGATGAGGGAGTGGGAATGCTGTGGGGAAGTGCTATAAGCCATGGGGCAGGACAGGAGAGGGGAGATGCAGTGGCCAAGCAGGCTTCCGAGCAAGCCAGAAGCTGGTGACAGAGGTGCTGGCCACCAGTGAGCTGAATGTGGAGGTGGGCATTCCCATGAGGCCAGCACCCGCTCACCTTGCTCATCTCACAGATCCTGAAGCTTTTTGCCTGGGAGCCCTCATTTGAGAAGCGAGTCAATGAGGTCCGGGCACGTGAGCTCAAGGACTTGGTGAACTTCAGTTACCTGCAGTCAATCTCTATCTTCCTGTTCACGTGTGCCCCCTTCCTGGTGAGTGCCAACAGGGCTGGGGAGGGCTCTGTCCATGGGGATGGGAAAGACTGGGAACCTCAGCTGGAGTGGTCCTGCAGTGAGGAAGGGGCTGGCTGACAGATGCCTGGGATGCAAAGTATGGTCCTGGCTGCTGGCAGGAGAGCTGTGGTAGAAAGGGGTCCCATCAGAGTGGTGAGATGGAGCCCAATGGAGAAAGAAAGCAGGAGGGAAACAGGTCCCAGCAGGAAGGCACTGCTGAGGCCTTAGGGGAGCATGAGAGTCTGGGCTGCACACAACCACACTGATGGTGGCTTTTTCTGCCATCTGCCCTAGGTCTCCTTGGCCAGCTTTGCTGTTTACGTGCTGGTGGATGAGAACAACATCCTGGATGCACAGAAAGCCTTTACTGCCATCTCCCTTTTCAACGTGCTGCGCTTCCCCATGGCCATGCTGCCCTTGGTCCTTTCTTCCTTGGTGCAGGTCAGCCTTAAAAAAGGACAGGGGGTGCAGGGGGATCTTATGATACCTCTGCCCAAACCAACACATGAGGCTCAGGTGTGTGATGGAGCTGGGCCTCGGACACCCGGGGGTCAGTGCGTGGGACTCTGTTGGCAGTGGGGTCAGATGGGACCCCCATATGTGACACAGGCTTGGGGCTCAGAGGTTGGGGCTGGTGCTTGGGTGGGGGCTGTGTCTGAGGTGCTCTGCTTACGGGGCTCCTGCCAGCCTGCCCAGCTATGCCCCCTGCCCACATGCCATCCTCTTTCTGCTATGGCAGACCAATGTGTCGACTGCGAGGCTGGAGTGCTACCTGGGCAGAGAAGACCTGGACACCTCGGCTATCCACCACAACCCCATTGCAGGCAGGTGAACCTCCAGGTTACTCCCTGTGGGTCACAGGCTGGCCCAACCCTGGGCTTTCCCAGCCCTGAGGGATGGCTTTCTGCTGACAGGCAGCGCTGTGCGTTTCTCGGAGGCCACCTTTGCCTGGGAGCAGGACGGCAATGCTGCGATAAGAGAGTGAGTGCTCTGCGCCATGTTGAGGGCAGATGGGTGGGGAGAGGGAGCCTTTCTGTGTTGTTAGCTGGGGATGGCAATCGCCTCTTACAGTGCTGCTAGAAGCAAGTGCCCCAGAGACGCTACTCTGTGCTGGTCCCACGCAGGAGCTGGTGGGTGACCTGGCAGTGCTGCTTCCTCAGCCCTCATGTCTTTGCAGTGTCACCCTGGACATCGTACCTGGGAGCCTGGTGGCCGTGGTGGGGGCTGTGGGCTCAGGCAAATCTTCACTGGTGTCAGCCATGCTCGGGGAGATGGAGAGTATCAAGGGACACATCAACATCCAGGTGAGACAAGCCAGCTGGTGCAGGGGGCTGTGGGGCTGCTTGGGAGCTCAATGGGGAGGCATCAGGGCAGGACTGTTCCCGGAGCGGTGGCTCAGGGCAAGGACAGGCTGCAGGAGGTGGCGGTGCTCAGGCTGATGCTCTGACAAGGTAGCTGTTCTTGTGTCTCTCTTTCCAGGGCTCCCTGGCCTATGTACCCCAGCAGGCCTGGATCCAGAACGCCACACTGAAAGACAACATCCTTTTTGGGTCAGAACTGGATGAAGCCAGGTATCAGCAGGTCATCAAGGCCTGCGCCCTCCTTCCAGACCTGGAACTGCTGCCTGCGGGTGACCAGACAGAGATTGGAGAGAAGGTATCAGCCTTGGGCGCTGTGGGTTTCCCATAGCACCTGCAGCAGAGGACAGAGCTGTTGCCCTGTGCCGGCCCCGTGCTCAGAGAGGTCCCTTCCCTTCCAGGGCATTAACCTGAGCGGGGGCCAGAAGCAGCGAGTCAGCCTGGCCCGGGCAGTGTACAGCAACGCAGACATCTACGTCCTGGATGACCCCCTGTCTGCTGTGGATGCTCATGTCGGCAAGTACCTCTTCGAGCATGTGCTGGGGCCAAAAGGGCTGCTGCAAAAGAAGGTGAGCACCCCTGCCCTCCTCCCCACCACCTGGCCAGGCAGGAATGGCACTGGCATGGTGTTGGCCATCCATGGAAAGCTGAGGTTGCTTGCTTGGGACAGAGAGGGGTCCTGTGGCTTTCACGTGGGGCTGCAGCAGGCAGGAGAGGCCTCACGGGTCCCCAGAGGGGTGCCCCGTGTCCCTGTAGCCAGGCAGTGATAACAAGAGAGATCCCCAGGTAGGGGATGGAGAGCCTGCAGGCCCATGGCTGGGGGGCAAGGCATGCTCTGATGCTCACTACCCTGCAACCACTTTGTTGCAGACACGGATCTTGGTGACGCACAGTATCAGCTTCCTGCCCCAGGTCGATAACATCGTGGTGCTGGTGGCAGGAGCAGTGTCTGAGCACGGCTCCTACAGCACCCTGCTTGCAAACAGGGGGGCCTTTGCCCAGTTCCTGAACTTGTACGGCAGCCAGGAGGAGGATGCTTCAGAGAAGAATACCACAGGTACTGGGAACACGACAGGGCTGCAGCAGTTAGAGGGGCCACACATATGTCTTGGGGTTGTGAAAACCCCAGGACCTGATCCGTCAGTCTGACCTGGTTCTATCCAGCCCAGGCCCCAGTGGTGGCTGCTGTGAATCCTTCCCAGCTTCTGGCAATCAGTAGCACAAGCACATTCTGCCTAAGGTTTGCATCCAGACATGGTGTTGAACAGCCAGTGAAGGACCTGCCTAATTTTTTCACTCTCTTTTTAGTTCATTTATGGGTCCCATAATCTTATGTGGCAACAGGCTCCATACCTTAGTGATGCTGGGGTGAGAAGGATCTTTGGTTTATTCTAAACGTGCTGTTGGATAACATTTCATCTTTATCATGTCCCCCAGTGCTGTAGGGAGGAGTGGTGTCAGGTCAGGTGGATGCTCACCCTGCTGGGGCGCAGCCCAGTTGTCCAGCCAAAGCCTGGCTATTCCCAGTTCATCCCCACAGGACCCATCTCCACCTGCTCAAAGAGATGCTCCTGAACTGGAATGACATGACCTACCAGATTGTGCACCTACTAAACTAGCACAAATCTCTGCTCAATGTCCCACCAGTGGCACTGGGATAAGTCAGCAGCAGGGACTGCCTCCATGAAGGCCTTTAGCCTTAAGTGCCCTGTCAGTTCTCTCTCCAGCACAACAGAATTCTTCCTCCTGCTGTACTGGGCTTGCAGCAGGGTTGGAGAAGGTGTGATGTGTGATGGTAGGACACAGCCTGGGCCTGGGGTGCGGAGCGGAGCTGCATGCAGCAGAGGTGTGGTGCATGGGATCTGTTCTCTCCTCAGTGCCTGACCCTACCTTCCCTCATCCCTGTGCTTGTAGCTGTTGCTTTAGCTGGGGATGAAGAGCAGGGTGATGAAGACATTGAGCCTTGTGTGGAGGAGGGTCCTGATGATGTGGTGACCATGACCCTGAAGCGCGACGCCAGCATCCGTCAGAGAGAGTTCAGTCGCAGGTGGGAACTCAACCTGAGCTCTCAGCTCCCTCCCCTGGCCCCTGCATTGCTCCTTAGGGGAGAGGGTTCCTGCAGAGAAGGGGCTAGGAGCCTCCCTACTTGCTCCTACCACCAGCTGGACTGGGTCAGGAGCATCTGATCTTGCCTTTACTTACATTAGTCACAGCCTTACTCTGTAGTCTTCCTTGAATCTCCTGCTGCTGGCTGGTCCTGCTTTTGGGGGTAAGGCCTATGATTTCAGAGCTGCAAATGCCTAGGGCTTCCACAAGGCTCATTCAAAGCTGCCCCAGTTAGGACATTATTTCCCAGAGGGCTCCAGCACTGGAGTCCCAATGCACCATGGGCATGGACCCCCAGGAGAGTAGGACCCATCCAGCACCCTGTGACTATGGTGCCCATCACCTCCCTGCAGCCTTAGTAAAAGCAGCACCAATTCCTGGAAGAAGGCCCAGGAGGAGCCCCCCAAGAAGCTGAAAGGCCAGCAACTGATTGAGAAAGAAGCTGTGGAAACCGGCAAGGTGAGGAGGATGGATGGATGAAGCACTGTGCTGCCCTGGCTCAGTGCTACAAGACCCTGACTGTGGCTCATAGAAGCCGGTGCTGGCTGGCTGTGGCCCCATTGCAGCCAAGAGACACTGAAGGAGACAGCGCTGCCTGGGACTGGTGGGCAAGGTGGTGGAGGGGAGCTCTGTGGGTAGCAAGGCAGGAGTCCCAGGGCTGTGCTGGGTGTCACTGGCCACCGTTTGCTGGGCAGCGGTGATGGGCTGAATTGGTCCACAGGTGAAGTTCTCCATGTACCTGCGGTACCTGCATGCCGTTGGCTTGTGGTATTCTTTCTGGGTTGCCATGGGCTACGTTGGACAGTACGTCGCCTTCGTGGGGACTAACCTGTGGCTCAGTGCCTGGACTGACGATGCGCAGCGCTACCTGAACCAGACCTATCCCACAGAGCAGCGGGACCTGCGGATCGGTGTCTTTGGGGCACTGGGGGTGTCACAAGGCGAGTATGGGAGCACAGGGGATCCTGCTCACCTCAGCTGCGTGGTCCAGAAGGGATATGGCTTGCAAGGCCTGCAGCCAGCAGTGCAGCAAGGAGCAGGGGACCCACCATTGTGTTAATTTGCCAGCTGCTGCCTTCCTTCCAGCTCCTGGCAGATCTGGGGACAGATAGCAGTCTGAAGCCAGCATAAATTGCCCCAAGAAGTCTGTGTTGCCCCCTTAGGTTGAAGATCACTGTCCTTAATCAGTTTGGAGATAGTGCAAGGGCCCAAGGGTTTCCCAAAGGGTTAGCGTTCTTCCCCTTTGGTGGCACGCAGTTACTGGGGCCTTCCAAGAAGGTGGGATGCAGGACTGTCACAGCGGCTTGCTACAGAGCTGCTGGTTTGGAGCTGCTTCATGTGTCTCTTGAGCCAAAGGGTGCCTGGGTCCAGTATCACACATGAGCTGGTGATGACCACCCTATGCTTTCCTTGCAGCTCTCTTCCTGCTCTTTGCAACCATCCTGTCTGCTCGTGGTGCCATGCGAGCCTCCCGGGTTATGCATCGGCAACTGCTCAGCAACATCCTGCGTGTGCCCATGAGCTTTTTTGACACGACCCCGACTGGCCGCATTGTGAATAGGTTTGCCAAGGTAAGAGAACAGCCCCAGTATGGAGGAGGTGCTTGTTCCAGCAGGTCTGGAGAGTGTTGCACGGTGACATAACCCTGTTGCTGTTCAGCACTGCACAGATGAGCCCAGATCAGGGCCTGGAAGGGACCAGAAGGGCATAGTGGATGCGAGGCCAACTGCGAGGCAAACCGCCTCCTGGGCTATACTAGGAGGAGAGTGGCCAGCAAATCACAGGAAGTTATCATCTCCTCAGCTCAGTGCTAGGGAGGCCACACCTGGATGCTGTGTCCCATTTTGGGGCCACCTGGTCAAGAGGGATGTGGAGAAACTGAAGAGGGTCCAGAGTAGATTACCAAGAGAGGTAGGAGCCTAGAGCTCATGTCCCGTAATGAGTTGTCCTTCTGGTTATGGACTCTCGGCAAAATATACGGTCTTTGCTATGTAAATGAAGCTCATAAAACAAAGAGAAAATGAGAAAGGAGGGAGAATACAGACAGGGAGTTTCAAGTGTGCTGCCACTCCAATTCTTCCTTTGGTGCCACCTCTTGATTTTGGGGAATAAAAATCTCTCTTGAGATCAAGCCTACGGGCCTGCTGGGTTTACTCTGAGATGAGGGAGTATGTGGTGCCCAGCTAGGAGACAGATGATGACCAGCTGGAGACCTGAGTGCACCTGTGTGGACCTGGAGTCAGCCCTGTCCCTCTTTCTGCCTCAACTTCTGCTCCTGCATCCTGGGTCCAGATGAAGATGCAGTTCCCAAAGCTGGTCTGTGCAACAGGGGAATATTAGAGAAAGCTTCTCTGTTAAATCAGTTGTTCCCAAGCTGAGCTGTGGCCCTAAGTGGGGTTGTGACCCTAACACCAATCCAGTGTCATCCAATATTTTTGCAAGTGTCTGGCACTGTTACCACATGAATGTGTAGGAACCCTGTATGTGTGGGGCCTTTGGGTTTCTCCCTCCTTCTGGGGTCACTGACTGCTTCTCCACACTTCTTTGTATGCTCCAGGACATCTTCACGATAGATGAGACCATTCCCATGTCCTTCCGCAGCTGGCTCTCCTGTTTCATGGCCATCATTAGCACATTACTCATGATCTCCCTGGCCACCCCATTCTTCGCTCTTGTTATCATTCCCTTGAGCATCTTCTACTATTTTGTGCTGGTGAGTAACCATGGCTTGAGAGAAGCTTCTGCCCTGCTTGGAGCAGTATCTTTGCTGCTGCTGGACTTTATGTTGGTAACCAAGCTGTGTCCCTCATTTCAGCGCTTCTATGTCTCCACGTCACGCCAGCTAAGGCGTCTGGACTCTGTAACTAGGTCTCCCATCTACTCCCACTTTGGCGAGACAGTGTCAGGGCTTTCTGTGATCCGCGCCTTTGGACACCAAGAACGATTCCTGCAGCAGAATGAGAGCACTATGGACATCAATCAGAAAAGTGTTTACTCCTGGATAGTCTCAAATAGGTGACTTTTACTCCTTATGTCACAGCACAGCCTGCAGCACCTCTGCCCAGCAGCTTCTGGGTCCCTGAGACGCTGCAGTTCTCCCTCTTGATCTCAGGACTGAGAGTCTGTGTAGGAACTGGGGGAGCTTGGGATAGGGACACCATCTGTGGGAAGGAGACGTTTTAGGGTGATTTTGAAAGCCAGAGTATGGCCCCCTAGAAATGTCCAGAGCCTGGGCAGAGTGAGCTGCACTGTCAAGGGATGAGATGCTCTTGGTGGGTTCTGGTAAGAGGCCAATGCTCCAGGCCAGGTGGGAGTGCGATGGGGACAGTATCTGGTGTTGACGTGTTATGGGGTAGATACTTAAGGTGTGTGAGGGTTGTACAGTTGGGGCTCCTCTGATACATGGCATTACCAGCACAGGAGGTTGTGTGTGAGACACAGGGGCTGACAGATAAAATGAACCTGCTTGCAGAATTGGCTACAAATCACATGCTGTGTAGGTGCAGGTACCCTGTGTACAGTGCTCAGCGCTGGGTGTGCAGGGATGCTGGTGGGGTGCTTGTGTCACTGGTGGGCCCTGTGTTGGGTGCAGGCAGATGCCTCTCCCACCACCCCTCAGCCGTGCTCTCCCGGTGCAGGTGGCTGGCCATCCGTCTGGAGTTCGTTGGGAGCCTGGTGGTCTTCTTCTCTGCGCTTCTAGCTGTGATTTCAAAGGGCACTTTGGAGGGCGGCATCGTGGGTCTTTCTATCTCCTCTGCCCTCAATGTGAGTCAATGAAAGCTTTTTCTTATTCCAGGGCAGGGCTGTTTCTGGAAGCAACACCCTGATGGCTCTGGGCTGGCTGGAGGATGCTGCCTTGCCTCCAGCTCTGATCCATAGAAAGGGGATTAGCTGGGGTGTCCTATCACCTGGGGAGCTGGTATGGAGCCAGGGGAACACACATCCCAGTGTGGGGGCGATGCTTGCCGCCATGGGGAGGAGCACATTCCCACTGTGGATCAGAGATGCTGCAGCAAAGCTTTTGAAGGGCTGGGGAGTGGAGAGTTAGGGGCCAGGCCAGGGATGCTCATGTCCAGGCTGAGTCCCTGAACTGAGATGGGAGGTGGCTGTTCCTGGGTCCCACTGAGCTCTGCATCCTCTGGCTCTGCCACACAGGTGACCCAGACACTGAACTGGCTGGTGCGGACGTCTTCAGAGCTGGAGACAAACATTGTGGCTGTGGAGCGGGTACATGAGTACACGAAGGTGAAGAACGAGGTGAGGAGACCAGGGTCCAGGCAAACACCTGCTGCACAGCTTGGTGCTAGCCAGCATCGCAGGGTGCAACCCCTCCTAATGCTCCTCTGCCTCCAGGCTCCGTGGGTGACAGAAAAGCGTCCACCCCATGGCTGGCCCAGCAAAGGTGAGATCCAGTTTGTTGACTACAAAGTTCGTTACCGACCTGAACTGGAGCTGGTTCTTCAGGGGATCACCTGCAATATTGGGAGCACTGAGAAGGTGAGGACTGTCTGCCCTCACTCCACCCTTTCTGTAGTGACATGGTCTTAAAGTTGTTTCTGTCCTCTTAGCTTGGGTCTGTGGTCTGGGGAGGGATGGTGATGGGACGTGGCTCCTGGGGACTTGAGCTGTGGGGCAGGGACCAAAGGAGACCATCTGGGAGATGGTGATTGCAGATGCAGGGCAGGAAGGCCCACCAGACCAAGATGGAGAGCATCTGCCCTGTTTTCTTCAACCCTGTCAGCTGGTCTAAATAGCTGCTTCCACAGGTTGGGGTTGTGGGACGGACTGGGGCTGGAAAATCCTCCCTCACCAACTGCCTCTTCCGGGTGCTGGAGGCCGCTGGAGGGACGATCATCATCGACGAGGTGGATATAGCAACGATCGGCCTCCATGACCTGCGCCAGAACCTCACCATCATCCCTCAGGTGAGCTGACCCCACCTCCCCACTGCTGCACATCCTCCCCAGGCTCTGTTCCCTGGGTGCCGCCTTGCCCTTGACGCATCCCTGGGTGCCGCGGAGAGTCCAATGGCCCGTGGGCATGCCATCGCCACCTCCCCTGCCCAGCTGCAGGCAGCAGGGCGGGCCGGCTGTGGCCAAACTCGGGGGCCTGGAGCAGCTACAGCAGCTACTTTCAGCCCTGCTGAATGGCCGTGGTGTGGCTGAAGATGGTGCTGTCCCTGGCAGGACCCTGTGCTCTTTTCTGGCACCCTGCGGATGAACCTGGACCCCTTTGACCAGTACACGGATGAGGAGGTCTGGAAGGCCCTTGAGCTGGCCCACCTGAAGACATTTGTGCAAGACCTTCCCGAGGGGCTGCTGCATCTTGTGAGCGAGGCGGGGGAGAACCTGAGGTGAGCAGAGGAGCGGAGGCATGCCCAGCACCACCCCCTTCCCCTGGTCCCAGGGACCAGCCTGGAACAGCAGACTGCAGCAGAGCGGCTGTCCAGGGACAAGGCCACAGAAGCTTCTGGGAGTAAGCGTGGGAGAAAAAGGTCCAGGAGTCAAGGCTGCCAGGGAGCCAGCGTGAGCCAACCCTTCCATGGTGGCCCAGAGAGCAAGATGCTGAGGGACGTGGTGCTCAGGGTGGCAGATGATCAGCTGGGGAAAGGCCAGGGAGGGCTGGGCAGGCATGGTGTTGGGGTCAGGGCAGCGTGTGGCAGTAGGCTTGCAGAAGCTCTGCTGGTGTCTGCCTAGTAACTCAAGTTCCCTACCTCATCCCAGTGTTGGGCAGAGGCAGCTGGTGTGCCTGGCCCGGGCCCTCCTTCGCAAAGCCAAGATCCTCATCCTGGATGAAGCGACAGCAGCCGTAGATCTGGAAACTGATCATTTAATCCAGACAACGATCCGGAGTGAGTTTGCTGACTGCACTGTCCTTACTATTGCCCACCGCCTCCATACCATCATGGACAGCAACAGGTACCGTGGGGCAGTACTGTGGGGCAAGGGGAATGGGGATTGGGACTCCTAGGATGGGGCGAGAGGTGGCCAGCAGCAGAAACAAGGATGCAGAGAAGGGCAGGGGTGGATGCAGTTCCCAGGACAGCAATATATGGAGGTTCTAGGAGAGAACAGAGGGATGGGAAGGATGGCCATGCAGCAGTTACGTCTTTGTGTGGAGAAACATTTTTGGGCATCCTTCTTTACAGCAACAGGCTATAGAGGCGTTGTTGACATCTTATGTGTGTTACCCCATCAGCACTGGGAGGAGAGCTGTGCCCTCACCTCTGTGCTGAGAGGAGGTGAACCACATAACGTGGCTATAGGAGGAGTCAGGGTCGGTGGGGCTGTAGTGCTGGTGCAAGCAGTGCTATCAGCTCGGATCCTGGGAGCTCAGGCCTTCTTGTTCCCTGCTGCCAGGGTGATGGTGCTGCAGGCTGGGAGGATTGTGGAATACGACAGCCCTGAGGAGCTGCTCAAGAAGCACGGTGTCTTCTCCGCAATGGCAAAGGACGCTGGCATCATGAATATAGAAACCACTGTGCTGTAGGTGGAACAGACCAGTGTGCGGGTGTGTGCGTTGGCAGCTCCCTCCCACTGGCACTCGCCAAGCAGGCAGCAGCTTCTCCCTGCTGCTGGACTGCCCAGGAATTTCTCTCTGCAGCTGAGAAGCAGAGTGGCTTAGCTGGCCAGGACAGAGGATCTGGACTTGAGTGAGCTGTTAACCTTGCTACCCCACCCTGCTTGCTGTGCACATAAGGGTCTGGAGCTGCATAATTTATTCCAGTATAGAGGTGAAAAGTCTGCCATGGGAGACCATGACCCCCGTGGGGGTCTTAGTTTTTGTACTTCACCATGCCAGGGGAACCTAGCTCAGATATGCTTTAGCACTATGGAATGAAATTTACAGATTAATCTAAGAGTGTTATAAACTTTTGTAACTGTTTCTAGTATTCCAACTGAAAGTCTGACTTTAAGGCATGCTAAATAAGCCTCAGTTTAGCTTCAAACCTGGCTAGTGTTTGAGGGAAGATGGTAACAGAGGTTATCCAGACACACATGGGTGGGGAGACCAAATTGACTTGCACAGTGGTACCCAGGCATGAACACTACTTGCCAGCAGTGGAGGTGGAGAAGCCAGGGCCTGCCTGCCTTCCCTACGGCTACAGCTCCCTTCCTTTGACAGTAGCGCCAACAAATGAGGCAGTCCCTGGGGCTATCATAACCACTAGTGGGGCAGATTTTGGGCTGCGGCTCCAGACTACAAACCTGACTGTGGTGGAGATAGATAAGCTGGAGAGGTGCGGGCATGTGTGTATGCCATACTGACATGCACAAAATCTGGTGGTTACTGTTGACAAACTCTTGAACCTTCTTTGCTTTTGGGCATGGAAGTCAGGAGCTGTAGCACTGACATCGGCTGCTGGCATACAGGGAGCCTGTGCCCATGTGCATGCTGCCTACCCACTTACAGCAGGGCAAACTCCTTCACCCTTGCTGGTGGCAGGAGGGACACAAGCCACCCACAGCCTCAGCCAAGTCATGTAACACACAGCAGGGGAGAGGGCAGCGCAATCACTTCATCTTAATGAAGAACTTCCCTGTGAGGGTTTTGTAGTGTCTGAGCTGCAGCTAGCACAAACACCAAGGCAGAAGCATTCTGAACCCCACTGAAAGGATAATGTTCTTCCTAGCCCTGCAGGGTCTCCATGAAGCCTGTGGGCTTTGCCCTCCTAGCCCAGCACTGGCCAGGCACTCCTCCCAGCTCTCCCGACACTTGCACAGGCCCCTCCTATACACAAGGGCAAATCTTTATTTACAGAGCAGCAGTACAGGGGATACAAATATTGTCCCAAGAGAAGGGAGCTTCCCTCTTTCAGGACATGGCAGCAGCAGGTAAGACACACCACCCTGGCAAAGGGTACCACATCCCTTCTGGGGAGGGTCTTACCCTCCCAGAACATCAGCACCATCTCCAGTGCCCTGCAGGAAAGCGCAGGTGAGGCAGTCCTGGTCAGAGCCCCCCAAAATATCAGGCTGGAGAACAGCCTGTGCTTTGCCTTCTGCCCTGCCCCAGTCCAGAGCAGCCAGGTGGGCATGGCAGTGCAAAGACAGGTCTTGGGCACCGGAGATACCTGGAAGATGAGAACCTGATGGCTGCTGCTAGCAGCAGAGCTTGGAGAGGCCCGAGCCCCTGGGAGATCCAGCATGGGGATGAAGCACCCGCTAGGGACCCTGCCGTGGGGGCTTTCAGAGGCTGGGCTCATCCCAGCCCTGGAGCTCAGCTACTCTTAGTGGACCTCAGAGCTGCTTCCCCAGGCAGTGTGTAGATGTCCCACCCCGAGGTCCTGCACAGACAGATGAGACCAGGCTCCTGCTGCTGCTGAGAAGGCACAGGGAGCACATTCACAGGGCCTGGGTTGCTTTTCACACTACTTGGCTAAAGATGGACTCTAGAAACTCAGCATTAGCCTTCCACAGTTTAAACTCACAGCAGCTCCTCAGCCTTGGTTGAGCCTTACCCTCCAGGGCCATGGCCCCAAGCTTTGCTCCCCTGCTCCTGGCTGGACACAGGAGGCTCAAACAGCCCAGGTGAACTCATCCCTGCCCTCACACAAGCTGCTCCTGCCTGCCCTGCCAGCCCACCCTTTTTCCTCCCCAGAAGGGGAGGTAGCAGCCAGTGTGGTGGGGCCCAGGACCACTGCAGGGCTGCGAGGGACGCAGCCTCAGGGCAAGCAGTGGGGGCTGCAGGGCTGGTCAGCCTCCCTGAGGCCACTGGCAGTGCCGGCAGGAACAAGGCACAGGGTGCAGGCTTCTGCCTGCCACCTCACGTGTACTCTGTCTTCCGGATGTAACTGGAGGGCACATAGCCCTGCTTCCCGTGCGCCTCGGCCAGCCACCACTCCCGATTGCCCGTGATGTCCTCAAACTGCAGGATCCTGAGTCTCTGGTTAGCTGACACACTCAGCTCGTTGGCGTTGCGGCCTTTGAAAGTGTAGAGAGCGTAATAGACCTGCCAGGCAGAAGGAGAGTGTCAGATGGATGGTCACACCACACAGCCTTGCATCGGATGTGCGGGCTTTTGCTCCGAGCCCCATCCTGGCCTCTGCCAGAGATGCCCCCACCTGCCCACCCCCATTTGCAGTCTAATTCTCTGCCTCTACACCTCTGCTGCTGGGAGAAAAGGTTTCATCCTCTACCTCAGCCCTTTGGGACAAAGCAGCCTCTACCTCCCACCCCTCCCTGGTCACTGCCAGGGAGGAGGATGATTCAGCCCCAACTCAAGTGAGGAGGTCAGCCCTCAGCATCCCCAGCCCCCCCACTGAGGCTGAGGGCTCACCTGGTTGCCCTCTGACTCACTGCTCTCCAGCCCAGAGTCTCTGTCCTCCACCGAGGGCGCAGGCCTGAGATGCGCTTTGGCAGGGTGCCCATTGCGAGAGCCAAGGCTGCAGCTCAGCTCGGGGCGGCTGTAGCGGCGCTGAGATGTCACTGTACTAGCCTCCAGCGGGGCTGTCCTGTCACCAGAGCCAAGCTGGGGCAGAGAGGGGGAGTCCATCTCTGAGGGGTGCTGCGGGGACTGGTATGGGTCTGCTGGGGAGACCAAGTCCTGCAGGGGTTTCTGAGTGAAGGTGACAGCCGCCCCGGTGGGGCTGAAGGTCAGCATGGTGTTGCTTTGGGGAGAGGAGCTGCTGTGCTCTGACTCGTTAGAAGAGTGGCTGCCCACAGAGACATCTGACTGGCTACGGCGTGGGTTGTAGGGCTTCAGAAAGGAGCTGTACACAAAGCCCTTGGTCACTGCAGAGAGAGAGAGGAAGGGAGCTCATATTGGGGCACAGAGGGACCAGAGGAGGGGACTCACAGCAGGCACCAAGGGCAGGGAGCAGCCACCTACCCCCGTTGTCTATGAGCCAGCGATTCTGGCTGCCCATGGGGTCCTTCTTCTTGATGACACCCACAATGTCTCCTTCCAGCAGCGAGACATCCAGGTCTTGGGCAGCATTGAAATTGCGATCTGCCTGGAAGAGACTGTCTGGGGGATAGCGGGCAAGGAGGGCAGCTCGAATGTCATCCGACTGCAGGAGGTAGCTAGGCTGCAGAGGAATAAGGCAGGTGTGAGTGGTTGTCCTGGGCACTGCAAGCCCTGACATGGGGCAGAGGGAACTCACCAAGCCAACAAGGGGCTGCCGCCGGGCGGACTGCCGCTCCACACTCTTCCTTTCAAAGGGCTTCTTGGGAGCTGCCTGGGACTCTGGGAAGAAAGTGAAGCCCTGGAGCTGCTGGAGGACTCGACTGTGCTCATCCTGGAAGACGGCAATGAGGTTCCCCTCCCTGCCTGACACCTTCAGCAACTGAAACCAGAGCAGGGTTGCAGGTCATGGTTAGGTGACAGCTGCTGGGAAAAGTGGCCAAGAGCTACAGCACAGACCATCCCAGCTCCCGGGCCAAGCAGGGGCTCCGAGTCCTGCCTGTGACTTGCATCAGGCCTAGATTTGCAGTCCTGTCTAGACCCAGCTCTGAGTGGTCCCCAAACTCATGACCTGAGATTCTTAGGCAAATGCTCTCCTCTCACTGCTCCAGGAGCAGCCAGAGCATTCACCATCTCTGCACGCAATTGCATCGTGACCCCACAATCCCTGCCCTGACAGCATCCCACAGGAGCCCTCCCTAAGGCACCTGGGACCTGAAACTGCAGCAACAGCTTCCCCCGCAATGGGATGGGACCCAGAGAGGCTCAGGGACAAGCCCTGCGCAGGGATTAGTGCTGCACTGAGCCCAGAGCACTGGCTGTGCTCCAGGAACCCACCGACAACAGGGGTCTCAGCTCCTCCAGGGCCAGGCGCACAAAGTCGCAGTGTGCCTCAGCATAGCCCCGCACACAGCTGGCAAACAGCTCCTTGGCAAAGCGCAGGAACTTGGGCAGCTCGTCCAGCAGCTGGGCATTGAGGGCCTCATAGTTGTTGCGGGCTGACTGCAGCTCGTCCAGCGTTCGCTTGTCCTTCAGCTTCTCCGCTCGCTCCGTGCAGTTGTGGAAGTCGAGGAGCTTGTCAAAGCGTTTCTGCACCAGCTTGTGGGGCCCCGCAAACATGCTCAGCAGCTGGTTCAGGGGCGAGCTCACCAGTCGCTCCGTCCGTTCTTTCTGGTGGGCAGAAATGCAGAGCAGGTAAGATGAGGTGCTCGCTCTCACTGTGTGGTGAACACTAGCAGCTCACCCTCCAGCACACAGCAGGGTCTGTCTTCCTGATGGCACCCACCAGAGCTCCAGAGTTAACTTCCAACAGGAATTATTCTATCATATTACATAAATGTGCCAGTGTGGGCAACGTTATGGCAAATACCTGAACCACTCATGTAGAGTGCTGTAAAAAAATGTGTATATAACAGACACACTCAATACACATCATAAATGCACAGGCATCAAAGCTCTCCAGAGGGAAGAGCCGAACAGGAGTGCTCACACCTCTCCCAGGCTGTGTTACCCTCCCTGCAGGCTCCCAGGGGCTCCCCATCTGCAGAAGGGCCCCAGAGGGGTGCCCCCAGCACACAAGAGCACAGCCTCACTCACGAAGTTGGAGAAGAGCTGGTCACTGATGAGCCGATTCACTTTCTGGAACTGGTCCAAGTCCCCACTGCCCTTCTCTGTGCACAGGTCCCACATGCTCACTGCTGCCAGTGCCTTCATGCAAGCCGACTCCTGCACCAGGGACACACAATCAGCACGGCCATGGTTGCTGCCCAGGAGAAGAGGCCTCCCAGGGCAGCCCAGACCCTGAGAGAGGGCCCTGGCAGGGCTGAGGGCCTGAGCACTGGCCAGCGGCACTGCAGGTACACACTATGCAGGCAGGAGGGGCAGTACATGGCAAGTCCCACGCATTAGGCATCCCACCCAGACCAACTCACTCGAACGTGCTGCAGGTAGAGGGAAAGGTCCCGGATAAAGGACTTGATCAGCCGCTCCTGCATCCGGAAATTTTTCTCTGTCTCTTCAAAGGCTTCATCCTTCAGCTGTGAGAGAAACATGTCTTAAGGAAGGCAATTCAGGACTCCAGTACCTCCCAGAGTACGAGATGTGGGGCCTCCTGCCCACAGGCTGAACAGCAGAGATAGGTGGTTCAGACCCTAAGCTCACTCTGCCTTGCTGGCCTGGATGAAAGCTACTCATCAGGGAAGGGGTGTGGGGGGACAACAGATACCACTGCAGAAGCACTGCAGGGTCTAAGTGCATCTGGCAGCTGATGCACATTACCTGGGGTGCAAAGCCTGTGAGATGCTTGAGGTGGCTGCTCACACGGTTGGATTTCTTGATGATAGAGTGGAAGTTGAGCTTGGAGATCTTCTCCATGAGGCTATCCTCATCCCCTTTCCGGTACTTTAGCACTAAAGAGATTGATGTAGAAATCAGAACCCTTGTCAGCACAATGCCCATGTCTTACAGTGCCTCATCAACAATTGCCTTGTTGGTTCTCCCTTTCCCTAAGCCTCTGCAGTTCCAAGTACACCACATATTGTATCATATCACACCATACATCACCTTGAAATCCAGCACTGTGCCACCTGTAATCCCCTATTTGGCTCTTGATATGACCTACAGTTTGTAGACCCACCATTCAAACTCTTCCATAGGATTATGCATAGCATTAGTATAAGATGACATAGGAAATGGTGTACAATAATCACTGGACATACAGAACGTATTTATATTGCTTCTTTAGCAAATATGAGCAATCATTACAGGCAGCCTATGTCATTTCAGCTTCAGTGGGGCTATGTGGAAAGAGTAAACTGTAAGACTTGCACAAGTCAGGGGCTTCCAAGGGAAAACAGGGAGGGTGGCTGGCAGGTCAAAGGGAATAATTTTCTCCCTCTGTTCAGTCCTGGGGAGGCTGCCCTTGAATACTGTGGCCAGTTTTGATGCCCCCAGATCAAGAGAGATGTGGGAGAACCAGAGCTCCTGACCCATAGGGAGAGCTCAGGCCCCACAGGGAGAGCTAGGGGAGCTGGAGGGGGGTCTGCTCACAGCCGGCAGCTACTTGAAGGGCAGCTACAAAGGTGATGGGGCCAAACTCCTCTGAGCAGTGCCAGGCAACACAAGGACGGGCAGCAGCCATAGTTGGCAGCCTGGGAGCTTCAGGGTGGATCAGGGATCACAGCTTCACCTCAAAGGTGGTGGATCCCTGGCACAGGTCAGCAGAGAGGCTGTGAAATCTCCATCCTTGAGGGTCAGTGAGAATCAGCTGGAGGGAGCCATGGCTGATCAGAGCCAACATTGGAGACAAACCTGCTCCAAGCAGGAGGTTGGACAGAAGACCTCAGAGGGCTCTTGCAGCCAGCACCTCTGCGACTCTGTCCTGTCTACAGATATACCTTCAAACTTAGTCTCAGTAAGACAGAGACTGCCCTAGCAGATTAATTCCCTACTTGTTTAAAGTTACATTTTTAAACTTTAAATACATATTCTTATCATTTTTGTTTTCATTTAATAGCCATGTAGACAGCAACTGCATATATTTCATATCTCTGTATCACAAGAAACAGCTAAAGTTAAATGTATACTGTACTACTTTAAGTATTGTATCTCATGTTCAGATTTTTTTAAATGCAGCTCTTCTACTGCCCTTCTGTGAGGGCACAGACTTTGGGAGCAGATTCCCTCCATGACTGTGGTTGCCAGCTAAGGCTTAGGAGCTGACAGACGCCAGCCTCAACACACCCACTCCTGTCTCTCTCTCCCCAGCACTACCCAGCTACTCACCCAGGTCCTTCCGGCGCTTGTATTCGTTGATGTTGACATTGATTTCTTTGACTGCGAGGACAGCAGCTGTGAGTGGTGCCTTGTCAGGGTGAGCCTCGGGTGTGGCGCTCAGTAGCTCCATCAGCAGCAGTGGGTACCTCATCACCCTTTGCACTGGCTTGATGAGGAAGGAGCCCAGGTTAATGTAGTTTGTGCAGCCCCTGGGAAGTTGGGACAAAGGAGATGCACCAGGTTTCAGTCCAGCTCTGCCATGCAAATTCTGCTCCCTCAAACCAATGCCAACCAGACTCAGAACACCAAAGCCTCTAAATCCACTGTACTCCCTAAGTCATGCCATCCTCATCTCCAAACATATTGCACTCCTGAACTCCTGATGCTCTCAGATCAACCCCAGGTTTCCAGACCTCACTCACACCAGGTGACCCTTCCCAGTCAGGGGTCCCCTCCATCACCAGACCCACCGTGAAACCCCACATAGGTACAGCATCACACTTACCAGAGTGCCACTTGCTTCAGACTCCATCCCACCACCCAGCTGCCCAGATCTGTCCCCCAGTGCAGGACAGACTGCCTGTGCTGAGGAACACAGTCAGTGCAGGGCTCTCCTGGTTCCTTGGGGCTCACGGCTCCTGAAATGTGTTTCCTGCCCAAGACCCCCCATCGCCTTATCACCTGTGCTGCCTGCCTGTGTAGCCCACACATTGCCTCTGCTGTGATCATGCCACAGACACCCTGCTCCTCCCAGACGTGCCTCCACAAGGCACTGTTAGGGCCCCCCAACATGCACCCAGCCGGTGGCAGGAGGTTAGTTACAAAGGAGCAGGCAGGCCAAGACAGACAGACAAGCGGGGACCAACAGGAAGGATGCACTTACCACTCACTGTACAGGCTCCTGCCGGCCCACAGAGTGCCAAAAAGCAAAGAAAAGCAATGGGTTAATGGGGCGGCAGGCGTGCAATCCCACAGCCAGCGCCTTCACCCCATCCCACAGTGATGCTGCCAGGGCAGTGGGCAGCCCTGGCCCCCCAGAGCAGCAGCCGGCGCTGCTGGCTCCTGGGGCATTAACCTCCACAAGCTGGAGCCCTGGTAGTCGCTGAGCCAGGCAAAGCGGCTCCTTCCTCACCAGCCATGGTGGGGCAGAGCTTGGGAAACAGAAGCCCTCAATCCAGGACATGCCACCTTCTCTGTACCTTGGTGGCTTCTGCTCAGAGTTTAGGAGGGCCTACAGGTGTCCCAGCACCTGTGCATTGGGGCAGGGGCCATCTGAACCCAGAGCCTGGTCAACTATGCAGTGACAATGCCAGCCCCTCTCCAGTCATCACCTGAACTGTCCAAGCACTGCTGGCAGAGGGGCAGGGATATTGGAGACTGATCCCCCTCCCCCAGCCTGGTGGCTGCCACAGCCAGAGGCTCCAACCTGAGGCTATCCAGCAGATCCAGGAGTAGTTTCTGCATCTTCTCATCCTTCTCATAGGTTTCCAGCAGTGCAATGGCCTCATCATGGTTCTGGCAATACACCCTGTAGACGTTCTCCAGCTCTTCACGCTGTGCCAGGAACACTGGACCTGAAGACAGCAGCAAAGCAGGACTTCAGTGTCTCCTGGTCCCCAGCTGCCTCCAGCAACACTGGTGTGTCTCATGGTGAGATGCCCAGTGTCCCCATTCCACACACAGCTCAAGAAGACAGTGCTACTAGAGCACCCAGAATGCCTCATCACCCACTAGCACAGAGAGCTCAATTGATCCAGGTCTCCCAAGGGTGAGAAGTGGGGACACTGGTCATTGGAACCACACAGAGAGCAAAGGCACAGGCTGCCCAAGGCCTGAGCAGCAAAAGCTGGCAGCGCAGGAGTGAGAAGTGGGGCTTGCTTTGGGGCAAGGGGCCATGGAGGGCCACAGGCACCATGTTTCTCAGCATAGCGACCCATGGGGCAACACAGATCTCCTAGGCTTCACTGCTGGACTGATAAGCAGTGATGGGGACCAGCAGGGAGGAAGCCCAGCCCCGTGATCCTCTCCCACCATTTAGACTGTTCTGCCCTACCACTAGCAAAGCCCATCCCAGCCTGCTGAGAAAAGGTAACAGCAGAATTCATACCGATGGCATCTGAAGCCTCCAAGGTGGACAGCAGCTGCTTGGAGAAGCTAATTACCATGTGGATGTTTCCAAAAAGACCCTCAAAGTCTATGTTCTGCATCTGGGGAATGGGAAGAGAGATGTCCTGGATGGGGGAACATGTCCCAGTCAGACCCAACAGCCCCCCCTTGCCCTTCTGCAACCCATCGGTCCTCAGCTTCACATCAGCCACCTGGTGTGACCTCCTCCCATCACAGTGACTCTGTACTCACTCCTTCATCCCCCAGCGCACTGAAATTCTCACTCCTTATGTGTCCTACCACAGTGTCCTCCTCTTTCCCAGAAATTTCATCCCTCACTCTGTTCACCTGTTATTCTTCCTCTCCTCCACCAACTCTGTGCCCATGCCAAGACCCCATATTTTCTTTCTCCTGACACTGAATTTAACCCACAAACCAAATGAAAAGGAACATTTCCCGCCCCAGGAGATGAATCTGTGATATTTGCTGCCAGGTCTCTTGCTCTCAGCAATGGTGAGAGCTCAGCAGGATCCCAAAACAGATGGGCTATTTCTGTGAGTGCAGGGAGCAGTGAGAACCATCCTGCTCCCCTCAGCATAGCTGAATTTCCTCTGTGGATCCCTGTGGTTCTGCTTGGCTGCCTCCAAGAACAAGTGGACTCAGTATCCTCACCCCATCCCACCAGTGCTGTATCATAGCTGGGCACTCCTACCTGTGCCTGTTGCAGGGGCACCATGATCCTCTCCACGCACATCTCCAGGTCTCGGATATAGTCCCGCTCTGTCTGGAGCAGTTCCTCAATAACCTTGGACCTCTTCTCCAGCATCCTTTGCTCTGGGCTCTCAGTGGCAGCCGAGGAGGTTTCCAGGGATGGTGTCTGGGAGGACAGGAGAGTCATCTCTGCAAGACAGACAAGCAAGATCAGCATCCGCCAGCAAGCATGCAAGGACAGGAGACAAGTAGCACCTGAACTGTGCCATACGCAACCCGTAAGACTGCCAAATAGGACTGTTAGAGAGAGGGACTGTCCATGCAGGGACCTTTTTGGAGGGGCTAATCCTGGCTCTCCCAGCCCCAGGGCAGCAGGGAGCCCAGGTCTGCTCCCACAGCCCGCCCTCGCAGCACCAGTAACACTGCAATGCCCCAGCATTGGGACAGCAGGCACCAAGCGACACAAACCTGCTCCACACTCGTGCCCCAATGCACGGGTCCAGACGCCTCTCCTACCCCCGCTCTCCAACTCTGCCGCTCCGGGAGACTCCGTGGGCCTGAGCCGATGGGGAGGGGAGCCCTGCTCCCCTCCTCGCTCTCTTGCCAGCCGGGCAATGGCGGCTGCCCCCTCCCCTCAGGCTGCGAACAGGGTCTCCATTCTCCAGCCCTGCGGCATTTCCATCTGAATGGCTGAAAAGGCCTCAGGCACCCACAATGGGGCTGCCGGAGGCAAAGCCTGGAGCTGGACCGCGGCGAGCACCGCAAGGCAGGGCCGGAGGGCCGGGGCGGCGGCGGCCTTTGCCGAGGCCGGGGTGGGCACCCAGAGGCCCGGGGTGGCTGGATGCAGCCCGTGGGCGGCCACGCTGCCACGGCAGGCGGCCCCGGGGTGGAGAGGCCCCCCGTACAGCCCAGGGACCTGCTCTGTGCCCAGGCCACTGTCCGTCGTCGCCCCCGCCCGCCCCCGAAGCAGCCTCCCGGCCGGGCCCTGGCAGGGCGCCGGGCCGCGCAGCAC